TTACAAAGATATGACTTTTGGTTTGTTGTGTACTTGCGCTTTTGCGTGTCTCCCCTACTCTCCGCTCAATTTTATTGGTTTTATCTTCTCTGTTACTTTCCAACGATTTCAATATACTTTTGACTGTCATATCGTGTTTTACTTTGCTGACTTTTTTTTGACATCTTTTATTTTTATTTTTATTTTTATATGACAGTAAAATTACTTACTTTCTTTTTAATTATGAGTGGTGCGTGGTTGGAGATACGTGAGTACGATTTTTTTATTGCATTTGTTATCCACCATTTTTCTAGTTTTTCTTGTTTTTATTTTTATTTGTTTTTTAAAGTATTTCTAATTTTTTTGTACAGGCATTTTGTCTGAAGATGACTCAATTTAGAGTCGAAACGTAACTGTTACCTTTATCTGAATAAATTACATACACACTAATACTTGTGTTAAAGCTCATATTGACCCTTCACTCATTAGATGTTGTTTGTTAAACATTTGAGCTTTCATTACTACTTTTTATAAAAATGTTATATTTTGCTTGACGTAAGCAAATATATATATATATAGCCGGTATTCATATTGTTGAATGTACGTAATTAAATAAATATTCGATAAATTTGTTTAAGCTGTAACTTGATTTTCAATGTTGCGTGTTTTTATTGTAATAAGTAAATTGTATTTTTATACGCTTTTTAAAAGTATATAAAATTCGACGTTTTATTAGGAAAATGCGCGTGAATATTACTGTAAAGAGTTTTTCTTTGCTGTGTTCTCAATACATTCGCGCCAATATTAACGCAGCACATTCAGCGTCAACGTAATATTAAGTCACACTTGTTATAATGTGTAAAGAATATAGGTACATAATGGTATTATGGCAATACAAATATTGCAATTAATTTTTTATTGTAAGCAAGTAATCTAGCATGCTTTTTGAAATACATGTTTAGCATTAATTTTATCGATTACTTACATGTTTCTTCTCTTCCAAGTGCTGCAGCGAGAAGACGCTCGAAATCTCCCCCAATGTCAAGTATCACTTCACCTGCGGCCCGTCGAAACTCGATACAATCAGCCGCGATTTTTATTAAATTACGATCACCTTTAAAGCGATTCGTCGCATACATTGCGGCTAATAATGCGGTGTTGCATTGCTCCCACGCGAATTCTAAAAAGCGATTGCACACAATCGAACCATCGCACACCGATTCTATACCAATAAAGTATCGCCGATATTCCACCCTCGAATCTATAAGCGAAGCCTACAATCCACACTCGTACACGAGTTTTGCAATTTGCACAATGTCTATTTTCCCCGATATTAACACTAGTAAGACAATTTTTTTATGAACGTGGCCCGATGATGCGGCCCTTATAATCAAAATCCACCACCACTTTTCTGGAAACACCAAATCTGCAAGGCGTTTTCTACTTAAGAGTTTTTCCATACAAATCGTCTAACAGAATTTCGCGGTAAGATAGAAAATCTTACCAATAAAAATAACACACACTTTTCCAATCTTCCTACTTGTCGCGCGATAGGAAAATGCTACGGCCGNCTGTATAACGCCCTTTTAAAAAGTTACACCAACCACTAACAAGCAGCAGTTCAAAAAAGAACACTATTTTTTCAAGTCTTTGCGTCTATCCCTAATAAAATAAACAAAAAATACGGGCGCCAAAAAAGACGCAAAAACTCTTACGCTCTTTATAAAGTCATAAAGCGTCTAAAGTCTTAGCGCCTAACCCTTTTCTTATACGTAGGCACGTCGTATAATCGCCGACAAGGTCAGTACATCTGTAACGTACTTACAACATTTTTTACAAAATATATAAAACTAGAAGTTCTTATAATGGCCTCACTAAATATGCCAGCAGAATGCGAATAGTAATAAAATCTACGTGACATTTGTAAAACGAAGGAGTTTGAGCTATTCGAGGCAATATAAAATCGAGAAAGTAGAGTTTAGCCTATATAATTTTACTCTAATTTTTTTCGGCAAGACGTCCTAAGGTCTACACTTTTTTTCTTATATACGATCGCGCTCCGTAAACACCGGCAAGGGCGTCAAAGCAGTAACGTGATAACATAAAATTTTTTTACAAAATACAATATATTACCAGCACTAAATATGCCTGAGAAATGTGAATAGTAATAAAATCTACAAAACATCTGTAAAACGTATGAGTTTGAACTATTTGTAACAATATAAGTCCATGGAAGTAGAGTTTTTAATTTTTATGGAAGCCGTGTTGAATTTCAAAAAATATAATAAAAACTAACAAAATAACATAATAGCGATGCAAAAACCTCCCGATCTTGTAATTCCAAAAAATATTTATAAAACTAACTTGCGTATTTTTTNTTTACACTTAGAATATAAGGAAAATATGGAAGTAAAGGGTTAGTCACTTACACACAAATTTTGTTTTTAGTTACGTATTTATTCAAGAAAACTTATTACTAAAACGGTTATAAAACACGATCTGAGTTATGTGATAGAATTATGCGNATAATTTCTTCTTTGTGTAGCGCGATTAATTCTTTGAATATAATATTAAAATAAGCATCAATAAATGTTAGATCATTTAATTGCAGCCGTACATGGTGCTCAATATCGGAGTAATTATTCAGTAGTGTAACATTTACCGTTTCCTCGTCTAAATATCTATTAGGTAAATTTAATTCTATTTCTTTTATCAAATAACACAGNCAATCGTTAATATGTTGTTGAATAGATTGTAACTGAGCATATCGCTCTTCGACACATTGTAAAACATTCACAAGTCCATCAAATGTAACTTTTTGCATCATGATAGATATCTTGAAGATTCTTTGTTTCTTTGTTGAAGAGGAGGTTGACGGCGTCGTATTTCGTATTGCAGCAACTTTATTCATCTCCTTGTCTTTTGTTGTTAGCAATAACGCTTTTTCGCTGTAAGCCGTAGTGAAAATAATGACGATATTGCCTATGACAATAGGAGTGACGGATGTCACACTTCCGCATAAATAAGAGCTTAGCTCTTCTATGCAATTGCAGAATTTTACCCAGTCGCTGTATTCAAAATCGATTTTGTGTGGCGAATTACCAGTAAGTCTTATAAGCGGTTTGAAGACTCCATCGCTGTTCGATGCATGTAATCCCACGTGAATATTTTTTGTATGTGAATTATTAAGGCAGTATGTTGTACAAAACACCATGTAATTTCTTTGATGAACTCTTTTAGCATTCACGGTACGCGAGCTCTTTTCCGTAAGGGTAGTGTTAATTTGACTGCTATTCGACATTTCTTCGGAAAATCTTGAATTATTTCGACAACCCGTAAACAATTTTTGGAACTACCGATGTAGCGCCTTTAACAGTCAAAAGACGAATGCTACAAGTTTGTAAGAAGGCTAAATAAAGGCTGAAAAATAATGGGGAAACTGCGCACGCATATAAATATTCAATAATAGTAAAAAAGTAAAGTGGGAGAAAATTAAGACAAGTCTGTTTATTTCAAATAACGCATAATGTGTATTTTATAAATGTAAATAAAAATGTAAAAGCTGGTTATGTTGGAAGTGTAATACTCGAATAGTTATAAGTTGAATAAATTTTAAAAACATCATAGCATGTGTGTAAATAAACTTTTTTATTGTTTACACAATTTTGTGTAAATATTTGCATATTCAATATGCGTATTCTATACGATAGAATATATTTGACATAGTAAAAGAGAGAGCAAGAAAATGATATAGAAATAATCTCTCTCTCTCTCTCTCTCTCAGTAACCCATTCTGCGATCGGTTTAGATGACAGCTGTGGCGAGGAGGGGAGCCTTAGACGGCAGCATTCATCATCGTCGCTACAATCTACGGTAGGTTCTTGCGGATTTTCTGCCGGTATCGTCATGAACGCGTCCAGGGTTAATGCAATGAGGCGTTCTATAAATGAGCACGTAAATGCGGTCAACAAGCTGCTCCTGTCCAGCAAGGAATCGGCTGATAAGAGATTTCAAATTGAGTCGGCAATAAGATCATGCAAGGAAGCTTTTTTTTGAATTATCAACAATTTATCTTTGCCTTTTGGAAGAGAAAAAAAGTGACTCTTTGTCGTCGGATGTGATTAAGAGTATGATTTCACAAGCTGTTTCACATTTTAGTGCAGATGCTCAGAGAGGTACTTCTACGCCTGATACTGGTGACCATGTACGCTCTTATGCAGATGTTGTCGGAACAGCAGATGCGGCTGTAAAAGTCGCGCGAGGTCCACAAATTGCCATTAAAAAATCAACAAATTTTTTAGTTTTTCCAAGGAAGGATATTCAGGATAAGTATAACACTGCCAAGGATACAATGGAGACATTTCAGAGGATTATTAAACCTGCTGATTACAATTTAAAAGTGAACAGGATTAAAACAACTCGAAATAAGGGAGTGCGCATTGAGGCTTTTGCTGGAGACATTGAGAAAATTAAAAAATCAAAGGAATTGGATAGAGCTGGACTCGAGATAGAGCAGGTCACTAAGATTAAGCCTCGGTTAATATTACATAATGTTCCAATTGGCATGACCAAAGAAGAAATAAAATCTGACCTCATAAATCTTAATTTAGATAAGCAGAAGGATACGGATATCAATGTAATCTATGTCTTTCCATCAAAAAATAACAGGGCTTTTGTGAGCTGTGTGATTGAGGTCTCTCCTGATATTCGAGCTAAATTGTTTAAAAGTTCGCAGGTGTTCATCAATTATTCTGCATGTCGGTTTGAGGACTACATACGGGTGATTCAGTGCTACAGGTGCCTGGCTTTTGGTCACCTTTCTAAGCAATGCAATGCTTCTCCGCTTTGTGGACACTGTGCGGATGCACATGAGATGAGAGACTGCCCTAATAGAAACAAGGCTGCAACCTGTGGGAACTGCAAAAGATGGCAGCAAGAAGACTTCGCACACTCGGCATTAGACGGCAAAACCTGCTTGATCTTAAAGAAAAGAATGCAAGAAAGGATTAATAATACCAATTATGGATAATTCTAGCAATCATATGAGAATCTGCCACGTCAATTCCCAGTCTTTGCTTGCTCACATTGACGAATTCAGGATGTTTTTTATGAACAATTATTATCACGTAATTTGCCTGTCCGAAACTTGGTTGAAGCCTGCAATCTCAGATCAGATGGTTATCTTGCCTGGTTATCAATTATTCAGGTGTGACCGAGTAGGCAAGGGCGGTGGAGGAGTTGCTATATTTGTAGCGGACTTATTAAAAACGAAGATATTAACTTCTTCTGGGGGTCAATATTGTAGGAAGCCAGAGTTTTTGATTGCTGAGATCTCTTCTATCAGGGATAAGATACTACTTGCAGTCGTCTACGGCCACCTCACTGTGGATATCTTGAAGAGTTTTTCAACACTTATATGGATCTCTCTGTCTCTTATAGACATACAATTATTTTTGGTGACTTAAATGCAAATATGCTCTGTAATACATATGACTCTGAACAAATTTCGAACTTCGTATCCGTTTCGGCTCAATACATGGTGCCTTATGAACCTACGCATCATACGCCCACGTCTACTACTTTCCTGGATCTTTGCATTGTGGACGATTGCGATAAGTTAATTAATTTTACTCAAAAAGATGTAAATTTTCTTTCATCGCACGATCTAGTGGATATTACGTACAATATTTACGTTCAACGATGCAATACCAGAACTATCACCGTCAGAGATTTTAGCAGCTTCGATTTGACTGTTTTTCAAGGAGAGCTTGTTGACAAGGACTGGAGTCGGCTGTTGGCTTCTAATGATATTGAGGAGAAAACTGCTTTGCTATATGACTTTTTAAATGAATGTTTAGATAAGTACGCTCCTTGGAAGATTATCCATCCTAAACATTTGCCGGCGCCTTGGATAACCAACGAAATAAGAAATATGATGGATAAGAGAAACAAGCAAAGGAGAAGATGGCGTAGACATAAGGACGAACCTAGTCATACTGCGTATAAAAGTTTGAGGAATGAGGTGCAAGATATGATACGAAGAGCAAAACAGGAATACTATATGACTATCTTTGCCAATATTAAGGATCCCTCGGATGCATGGAAGAAATTAAGACAGCTAGGACTGGTTAAATCTAAAAAAACTGATAAGATGATTTTATTTTCAACTGATGAGCTAAATACCTACTTTCTTACAAGCTCTCACAACGGTTCTTCAAAAAATCCAACAGCTCTATTTCTTGGTGAAGAATTGTATGATGACACCAAATTTTATTGGAAAGATATAGGCATTGGTGACATATGTAACGTAATAAAAAACATTAAATCAGGCGCTGTTGGTGTAGATGGCTTATCGGTGGAGTTTTTACGTATGGCCTTACCAAGTATTCTACCAATTATAGAGCATATTTTTAACTTCTGTACTCTCAACGGTGTCTTTCCTACAATTTGGAAAACGGCCATTGTCAGCCCCATTCCTAAAATTAAATGTCCAACTGAACTTAATCATTATCGACCTGTTTCGATTTTATGCACTCTATCCAAAATTTTTGAACGATTAATTGCTAACCAGATCACTCAGTTTGTAGAAGAAAATAACTGCCTGGACCCTTATCAGAATGCGTATAGAAGGGATTTTTCTACGCAAACAGCTCTGGTGCGAGTACTGGATGACATTAGGCAAGCTGCCGATCAACGAGAAGTGACATTATCGGTGTTTTTCGATTTCTCGAAAGCATTTGACTGTGTTGATCATAGTGTCCTGATCAACAAACTGAGAAATATTAATTTTTCGTGTTCAGCATTGCGACTGCTGTGTTCTTATCTTTTTGGCAGAACACAGTTTGTTCGGAACTCCAGTTCCGGCGAACTCTCAATGGAATTGCCTGTTGCAAAAGGTGTCCCGCGGGGCTCTGTCTTGGGTCCTCTATTATATGTCTTATATATATCTGACTTTGGAAGAATATTAAGCCACTGTAAATACAATTTTTATGCGGATGATCTGATGATTTACATACACATCAAACCGAGTGACATTGATGAGGCCATTACAAAAATCAATATGGACATATGTAATATTGTAAATTGGGCAACGCATAATAAACTCTCACTGAATGCAGGAAAAACTTCAGCTATTATATTTGGAACAAAAAGGTATATAAAAAATATAAAGTTGGATGATATAAATCAAATCACTGTGGATGGTGAACGTATACCTTATAAAAGCTCAGTTGTATATCTTGGAGTGACACTCGATGCAACTTTATCGTGGAAGGTTCAGGTGGATAATACTATTGCTCGTATAAACGTTTCTCTGCATAGACTGAAAATTTACAAGCACCTGCTATCGACTGCTCTGCGTATCAGATTAATTTCTATTCTGATAGTACCTTATTTTGATTATTGTTGCTCTGTTTTTTCGGACATAACTGGTGACAATAATTTACGCCTTCAAAGAGCCTTAAATACCTGCATTAGGTTCATTTACCAGGCGAAATGGTATGAACATATCACACCCTACTTTGATAGGCTACTTTGGCTCAAGATCAAGCCTAGAAGAATGTACTTTATAGGCTGCTTAACATATAAGATTATCGAAACACACAGGCCTCAAGTACTTTTCGACTTGCTCATCTTTAGTCGTAATGACTGCGGTAGGGATATGAGATCATCNAAGGACAANTTGATACTCCCTCAGAGTCGGACTGAGCTTTATCGTCGCTCTTTCAGATGTACGTGCGTTGACGTGTGGAATAGTATACCGGCAGATATCCGCGAGGCACCTTACCAAATTTTCAAAAGAAAATTTTTTAACCATCTATTATTAAAATGAGTAGGATTTTTATATAGAATTTTTCTTTTTGTATGTTTATATTACTATTTTTCTTTCTTGAATGATCATTTTGCTAAATTTCTGTATGTTTGTATCTCGATTCTTTCTTTCTCGAATTGATCATTTTGTTTTTGTTCAGTTTTTGTCTAAAGACTCATGTATATATTATTATTATTATAATTATTCTAAATTGTATTGTATTGTAATGTTATCTTTATTATATATTTTATTGTATGTTTTTTTTTTTCGCGCTTGAGGGGTGTTACCCAGAGCGCTTTATAAATACAGCTGAATCAATCAATCAATCAATCAGTAAGAAGAACAGAAAAAAGAAATTCTTTAACAAAGTCAAGGGGGTTGCGCTCGCAATAACAACAAACAGGACAGATAAAAAGTTAAATCGAGCAAATTGGTAAATATATAACAGGAATCAAATAAAGCCGATACGAGCCATTCGCAGGATGTTTGTGCGGAAACTATGCGTGTACAAATATATATATATATAAATGTAACGAATTTTTACAAGTATTTTTTGAATTGAAATCTCAATTCTTAAATTCATACGGGATGCTAGATTTGCATCTCACATATGGAAAACCCCGTTTTTGCGTAACGCGTAACGCGTAATCAGAGATTACGTGTTTAATATAAAACATTTGCTTCGGATATTGACTAGTCAATTCTAAAATTGACGAGACTACGGGCTGTGACGCTACATATACATTTATATATACATATTATATATATATGTATATTTATGTATGTGTAAATATATATATATTTATATGTAGGTACATCATAATATAGCCTTAGTTTTCAAATTTCAATTGTTTATAACTTTTTTATTAACAACGAGCGACGGCTAAAAATTACGGATTGGTACTCAGGAAGGTGTCCTTGACAACATATGTCAAGCTCATTAAAATCAGAGGGGGGTGACCTTTTCTATATATTTACCAAATTATAAGTAATATAAAATATAATAATACTATATTATAAAATAAGATGTATATATATGTGTGTATTGTTAGGAATAAGGGCTGGTAAAAAATGTAATCGTCGATCACAGTTTAGTACAGAATACAATATATTATCCGTGTTCTTATACAGTTACTTGGTGTAGTAGTGGTACAGCAGTAAGTCTTATTCTAGACCCCCTGTTTCTCCTGGTTTTGGTTTTGGTGCGCTTGTGGCTCTTGAACCGAGAAAAACGGTTAGTTCATACGCCAGTCTATGTCTGAATGTAGATATAAAGAATGTTAGCAAAAACATATGCTAAAAAACATATGCTATGCTAAAAGTGTCCAAAAATATTCACAATAGAATTACGCACATCCAGCCAACATGGCTGATGCAACGCTACTTCCCTGTTTCTCCTTCCTCAGCGCCCATGAAAAAAAAAAAACTACAACTAGATGGCTCAACGCTCATGGGGAAAAAATGACTACACTCACAGTGCCGCCATCCATCCCAACTAAACACAACTAAAATGAAAAAACAGTTCCTCACAATCCGCCCCCTTTGTTTGTAATCTGTAATACTCATAATTTTCCTTATATGTTTAATCAGAGTCGGGGCCCCCAATGGCTTTGTCAGGCAATCCGCTGTCATATCGTCACTGGATACATGTTTTACAATGATGTCTTCCCCTTTTACAGTCTCGTGGATGTAATGACACTTACGATTCATCAATTTAGATTTCGTTTTGAAATTACCACCATTCGCCAATTTAACAGCGTTTAAGTTGTCACAATATAGTTCTCCTGATATTTCTTCTAAAGGTTTAATTTCACGTATCAATCTGGAGCACCACACTACTTCTTTTAATCCTTCCAACATGGCTTCTAATTCGCTTTCCGTTGATGACAACGCAACTATAGATTGTTTTCGGCTCTTCCAATGTATCATGTTTCCGTTCACATATAATAATAGTCCGGTGAATGATTTTGCATCTTGTGTTCTGTCCCGTGATGCATCAATTTCGCATTTTATTCTTATTTCAGGGTTGCTTCTATTAAATTCCAGGCAATAATCAATAGTTCCCCTTAAATACCGTCATATTCGTTTTAATGCAGCCATGTGGATTTCTCGTGGTTCGTTGTTGAATTGAGATAGGCAACTTAATGCAAACGACAGATCTGGTCGTGTATGTACACTTAAGTACATGAGTCTTCCTATCAGTTCTTGATACGTTCGAACGTCGACTCTCCTGCTTTTTTCACAATTTTCAAGTTTTGTATTTGTATCCATTGGCGTCTTTACAGTATTACATTCTCTCATCCCGTATAATTCGAGTAGTTTTTCAATATATTTCTTTTGGTGTACGTACATTTTTCCTTCCTTTTGATCTACTTGCATCCCTAGCACTACTTTTGCTATATAATATATTCTGACAGGCGTGTTTCGTTTGACCACAGTACGATTCGACACTGATCGATTTGACACCAAATTATTGGACACAAAATTATT